GATACTCGTGAAGGCTGCGTAGGTTGCTCGATGACGGAAGAGATATACCCGTTTAGTGTTCTTCATCGCATTAACTATTTAGGAAATGAGAGACAAACAAAAATTCGATTGACGAATAAAATTAATGTCTTCCAACATTAATGCGTTAGAATATGGATTTTTTTTTAAACTGTTAAAACTTTTATAGGCAAGTTTTTTTAAAAAATCGACTGATGCTTATATACAGGAACTATCAAAATTATCATCAATGAATGAAATTTAAATTTTAGTCTATTTTTTTTAACATTTTAAAAAAATACCATATTTATGTATTTTGGCGAAATCAGTAATTCGAACAAATTACATTAATTGAAAATTTTATTCCTAAGCACTGTAGAATTTTTTTCAATAAACAATCTATAGACGTACCAATTTACATGATTCTGGATATACCTAATTTTGTAAAAAATAAAGTGTTTATATAATCGAAAAAAAAACAAAATTATCCAGCTGTCAAGAGTGTATCAGAATAATTGATTGGTTATAAATAACTCTTATGCATAAGTGATGACTTGTGACTGTACGTCACAAATCTTTATTATTTGCCATTTATTTTGAGGTAGATAGTAAAGTAATACTGTACAATTGTACGAAAATTGAGCAAATTTTGACAGTACGTATGGTTAACATAGATTTGTAAAATTAATTTTATAAGTATATTTATAGGACAATTAGCTTTGTTTCAAAAGAATTTTTTTCTTTTACAAACCGTACATATTTGTGTTTCCGTACCGTACTAATTTATTATACAGCCCTTTTATTTAAGATTATTTATAAGATTTGGAAATTATTACTGAATGTATAAAAATATGAACTACGTAGTGGATTTTAAAAAAAGCTCAACTTCGAATAAATAGATGATAAAATCATCAGTTAGATCTGTGGCATTAATCCGGTTGAATAATATATAACTACTCAAGGAAATAATAGGAAAAAATAAATCATGTTAAAATATTTATTCCATTTCTACCGAAACCTACTAATTGATAATATTATCATTAATCATCTTATCCTTTGTTATTAAAGCTCTGACAGAAAAGTTGTAACCTTTTAATTCTGGTTTTAACTTTTCTAAATAGCCATTAATAATTTCATATTTGGAATTTCTTGGCGTTTTCATTTTTTTAAGAATCCCATTAAGTGTTTCCTTTTGGTCTTTCCAAAATGATTCAAATCCAGAAAGTGCATTGCGATGGAACTGAAACTCTCAATCATACTTGTTAATGTAGGTTGTAATCCGTCACGTTCTTTTTTTAATTCCTTTTCGAGACTTGAAATCTTTATTATGTCTTTCATCGCTAAAAACATTCCTATTATGGTATTACCTTTTAAAAAAGATTTGAATTAATAAACCGTAATTTTTAAGCTTGTTTATAAATTAATTTCCATGAAATTAATTACCACCTCTTGCTCGTTTATCATTCTCTGTTGCATTTAATTTTTGAGCTGTTTCCGATTTTATATTTCTATAATTATTTTCAATTTCCACCCGGTATTTTTTGAGAACGTTATTGACTTCAAAGAAATTCTCAAGAATGTAGTTGATTTGTTCATTCAATTCTTTCAATGCTTCATCGGCTATTTCAGTTGCAGATAACAATATTTCAAGTTCTTCAATCAATTCTTTATTGGAAATCGTTTCATTCTTAATCATTTCAATAATTGATTGAAATTCTATGATATAATTAGACAAAATTTCAATATATTCGATAGATTTTTCGGCAAATTTATGGAATTCTAAACGCTGTTTGTTGACCTCTTTTATTTGAGCCTTAATTATTTCATCTTTAGTCTTTGTTTGCACACACTTTGAAAATTTATCAATACAACTCAACATATTTTTTTCCAAAGTCTTAATCATAGAGACTGGCATTTCATCTTGTGAGTCAGACATTTTTTTCCTTTTGCTAAAAATTATATCCTTGAAAAAAGGTGAATAAAGTTTTTTTTTTTTTTATCTGCAATGAAAGTTTATGAATTGATGAATAAATTAAAAATCGTAAATCTTTTTTATTTTTAATTTATATTGCTAGTTTACTGAAACTTGATTAAATAAACTCTAAATAAGTTATTTTAATTATTTAAGGTTAAATGAAGAATATTACCTGTATGATCATTAAAAATGTTATAAATTTGATTCTGATCAAGAAATCAAAACTAGTCAATTTAACAAACTTTGAAACGATAAAAAGATTTATCTGCAATGGAATTTTATGAATTGATTAATAAATTAAAAATCATAAAATCTTTTTTATTTTTAATTTATATTGATCATTAAAAATATTATAAATTTAACTTTGATCAAGGAATCAAACTAGCCAACTTAACAAACTCTGAAATGATAAATAGATTTAATTTTAATATTCTGATTAATGTTTGACAAAATCGTTATTTCTCTCTTTTTATTTATTTAATTTTATCGTTACAAAAGTAATTGAATCTATTATTTTACAATACACCACAAAGAAACTGTTATAGTATCGTATATCAATATAGTAATTGTGTAGAAGTTATTGAATAAGAATTTGTAGTTGAATAATTATTTACATCACAATTATAAATCAATAGTATTTATAATAAAAGCTAATTTAATGCATTGTAATTCTTTTTTAAAATGAGAATGTGTTTCTATTATTTTTATACATTGAGATTTTTTCACTTGTGAAAAAATGGAAATCAAAATTCTTCAAGAAAATTGTGATATAATTTCATCGGTTGATACAGAGTTTAAAGGCGAATTAAGCAAAATGGTTTTTGAAATTTTTAAAAATCTTCAAGAATATAATGAGGAAGCGATGAGAACTGGAAATGACCAAATAGATGACATTATCGTTGAATTTGTCAGAATTAGCAAAGATATGTCTATAGAATCTTATAAAATCTTCTCATTTGCCAACAATTTAATTCTGCACACTAACATAATTTTGGATAATGCAATTGAAATTGATGAAGTTAAAGAAGAATTAGAAATTCTGTCTCAAAATTCCGCTGAAAGAATTAACTCGATTAAAAGTCTAATAGAAGACTGTAGGAAACTTAAGAAACAGATTGAAAAATTAATTTATGAAAATGATGAAATGAAACAAAAAGACAATTCAACTTTGAGTTTTATATGCTTGCCATATATTGGATTGAATTGTTTTGCAGAAAATCAACCCCTTTCCAAATGCCTGGCAGAACAAATCATTAAACAAATTAAATTACTTGATGAAGTCTTGACACATGATTACAAAGATTTGTGGGAAAGTTATAAAAATAATATTGATAGTTTTATTAGACTTTTAAATAAACCATCTATGAATAATGATATTAAGATAAGAAAGGAAAATTTAGAAAAGGAAAAAGAAAAATGGAAAGCCTTGAAGAACAAGCACAAATTAACCTATTATGCTACTAAACAATCAATTACAAGAGGTCAAGTCTATATACGTATGTACAGTATCTATATTTTGTTTTAGAGACCTGCTAATACCACCCCCCTATTTTTGCTAATGCCACTTTTAACATAGTCTAGTTGCCTCTAATTTTAAGACTTAGGGTCAGGGCTAGTCTAATAGTATAATTTAATTAGTTATTTTTATTATACAAATCGTATAACTAAAATTTTGTATAGCAACTAGACTATATAGAGGGTGGCATTATCAAAAGCATGCTCTTTATTTTATTATATATTTTTAATTTTATATATTCATAAATTTCTAATTTTATTATTCAAAAGGACCCGCACAACCGACACATACTAATTATGGTTTTATAAGCAAATTTTGGAATAATTTGAGATCTCGATATGAACAACTAGGTTCAATGGTTGAATAATTATTTTCTTAAACGAATTAAAATTTATGTTTTTGAATAAAATTAGGCATGATCTCAAGAGTAAACTATAAATCATAATATTAGAATAAAATGGAGTGAAAATATTAACCATTCCTATTTAAAAGATAAATAATTATAAATACTAAAATATAATCATTTTAAATAATTTTGTTTATTTCTATACTCACTGGCTAAATTAAGATAAGGTGTATTAAATATTAGTACAGTAAGCACACGTTTTTGGGGCTGAACTTTAATGATATGCACTTAGAGAATGCTGAATACTAATATATAATAAAAGTTCTTAAATTTATTTTAATTTTAATTATTTATATTATACAAATAGTATTAATAAGTTTTTGATTATAAAAATATCTGAATGTATGATAATAAAATCTTGAACATTTTGGGGTTTCAAAGTTAAAATACGAAAATCTAATTTTAATTGAAATTGGTTACGGATTTATTTTCAAATGAGCGATGTATTAACTTTTAATTCATTTCCGATATATTTGAAATGATGATGCTTGTTATTGAAAAGTCTATTTATTCATTTTCCGATTTTAAAATTTTAAAATACATTATAACCTATTAACAGATAATGTAATGATGCTTTAAATTTATGCAAACAAGTAAATATTATTATTTGTATGCCAAATTTTTGTCAAATGACCTTTTTAAAATCCTTAAAGTAGCTACATATTTGCAGTAGTAATTAAAACTAGGGATGTTATCCTGTTCACCCAAACTTGGTTCAGCCCCTGTTTGAAACCATAACCAATTAAACTCAATTAAACTCGAGTTTTGTAGTCATATGATTTTAATTATCATATTTCAAACTCTCGTGCTTA